CAATTTCAACAGTTTTTGCCAATGGTAGTTTTGCAACACTATATAACATTGTGGAGTAAGAAGGCAAAGAGAAGACAAGGTAACTGTACTTCCCAATAAATGCCAATCACTCCACAAAATTCAAAGTTGTTAAATCAAGTCACACAATAGTACTAAGCCTTAGAAAGCATTTTGGTTTACACAGCATATTATTTCTGCACCCTTAATAGAAAAAAAAAAAATTAAAACAGTAACTACACGGAGAACAGAGAAATTGCAAAAATTTGAAAACAAACTATAAGGATTGGACATACCTCATCAATTTGTGACTGGATAGATTTTGCTTCATTCTCTAAAGACTCCACTCTCTTCTGAATTTCAGCCACCTGAAAATTATTAGTTGTCATATACTTCTTCCATAGATTTGACTGAAAAGGTCTAGGCAATTAATAAAAGCTATTTTTATTTTGAAACTGAAAAGCTTCTACTGTCACATCAGTAAAAACAGCTTTTCTTCTTTAAGCGTTTTCCTTTATGGATGTCATTTTTCTAATATGCTGCAGGGAGTATGACGGCAGACAAAATGGGAAACGTAGTTTTTGTTTCAAAAACCCAAAGAGAATAGTTTGCCTTCTCCATAGCGAATTTTTTGTAGGAATTCTTTTTTCCATGAATAGTAACAAAGATAGGATTCTACTTATTCTTACCAAGTTATCATTTTCTGATTGCTTAGATTTTTCTTCTTCCAGTTCTTTTTCTAGATTCTCTATTTCTTGGTTGAGTTCCAAGTTTGACTTGTGCAGTTTTTCATGCATTTCCTAAATCAAGTTGTTTTGACAGTTAACATAAAACACTTGACATTAATTACATATGAAGACAACAAGTATGTTTAAAATATGGTGGCAAAGTATGTTTAACAAATTTCACCGTATCAAGGATAAATCTTGAAGTACTCTAGAGACTCTTGCATGTTAACAAAACCTGTAACAATTAGCTCTATAGGATCTGAGGTGCAGAATGAAATACATCTATTTGCTTTTTTGTTACATAAATTTTGTAGAGCCTATTAGGTATTTCATTCACTTTTTCATAACTCTCTTACAAATATATTCTCAGTTCGGGGGTTATAAGCAATGTAGTGGTAATTTTTGTTTACAACTGTGCTCCAGTAGCCTGTAAAATTAAATCAGATGTGAGGAAAAAAAACTTCATGCGCTACTCTCTATCCTAGAAACAGGAACAATTTACTTTTTCAAAAAATAAATACTGCCTAATATACCATTTGCTCTATTTTTAATGCAATTGTTAGAAAAAATTCTCTTAATTTAAATGCCTTGCTTCTATGTAATTGTTAGTAACCCAGGACTAAAATAACAAAGATTTCAATTAAAACAATTAAGGTTTGGGGGGTTTTGTTTTGGGTTTTTTGTTGTTGTTTTGGGGTTTTGGTGTGTTTTTTTAATATGGGCAGCACTTTCCTGAAATATTGCCTAAAATTGTAAAAATAACAATTTCCACTTATCTTCTTACCTCAAAAAAAGATGTGTCTGTTGGTTCTTTAATAACGTTATCATCCTTCAGAGACAATTCTAAATCTTCAAACTGAAAAGGAAATACTTTATATCAGAATGTATGTAAAGAATTACTTAAATAATAGCATTAATTTATGATGCTCTAGTCTGAAATGTAGGCACCGCCTAAATAGTCACAAATGCACCTTGCCGGAAGTCAGGAAAGCCTTAGCCCTAATAGATTATCCAAGTGGCATAAAACAAAGACATTTTAAAGTTGCTTCCAGTGAAATACGTCTTATTAAGAGTTAAAGGCAGAACTTGCCAACACCTTAATTGCACCTAAAGCCACTGACAGGAAAAAGGATTTGAAGAATCACTTTAAAAGGTTTTAAATATCTTACCATTAGACAAGTTTAATACTTTAAATTCTTGACAAATGGAGCCCATTTCTGTGATGCATCTGAAAGCAATAAATGAGGACCATTACCTCTTTTTTGCAAAGGCTGAGTTTTTCAAGAATTTTGCATTTGTCTTCAACCAGTTCAGCAATTTTATTGGCAAGCTGTTTTTCCCTTCCTAAAAAAAGACAGACAGTTAAGTGTTGCAACATCCAAATAATAAAAAGTGGAAAAAAAAAATTTAAAAAAGAAAAAAGTCATACTCCAAGGAAACAGTATGAAAAATAAGCTTACCTACATAAAGTCGACTTCTAACCTGAAATAAAAAGAATAAATACTGAAAATGTCTGATCAATTATGCTTGCATAGTATCTGAAAACTAATATTTTAAGCTGTGGTTCCGTGATCAGTTCAACCATGGAACTTAAAAAAGGACTATAAATACAGGCTGCTGTTAAAAAGGGGCAACTGCATCCTCTGCTCTTACCCCAAGGCTGTGTGTTTGCCCTGTCCTTCTCCCACTCTGATTAAACAAAGAGTAGGAAAGGGGAAGGAGGGGGAAGTTCCACATGCCAGCTCAGACTTAACTTCCTATGAGGAAAAAAACCCACATGTTACAATACTTAACAGTTAGAGGTGCAGTAAGGGTACTACTTGATGGGCATCCTGCCCAGATGCAACTCAGTGGGAAGTGCCAAATCAGCAGCTGCCACGTGGGGTCCAGTGCCCTAGAATCAAAATCTAACAAACTGTGGGACAAAATCTGTCACAAATGGCCTGGACAAGAGATGCAGAACTTGGCTGAACCCACAAAAACTTCACATCACAGCAAGTCTGGGCCTGGATCATGTGCCTAACATAAACGGGTCCCTCAGATTTTCCTTGTTTCCTTCTCATTTAAAGCCATGGGATGGCCTAGGAGTCCAAGTCATAGAGAAAGGGGGAAGTCATAAGCACACCTTATCCTATCAACCCCCCAAAAAACCAAAACCAAACCCCATTAACTTTTGAGTAAGTAACCATTAATTCTTCAAAGAGCAGTCAGTGCAGCTCTAAATATGGATGACTGAAAAAGCTATCAGTAACTTCCGCAATATCTAATGCCTTAGCAACATGCGCAGGAGGAAAACAATACCTAGAGTTGCTGCTTAACTGATTTCAGCTGAAACACCTCTTTCATACCACCTAGAGGGATGCTACTAAGAAAACAGAAGGAATGACCCAAATTATAGATATATTAACTTATACAAATACAGATCCCCTTCCAGACAATCTGAATCGCTGCTGCAGAGTAAGGTGGCATTCTTCCAGATCTAAGTTGACATTAGAACCCTAAAAATGCAGTTGCTCATATTTGAAAAACTAAACCACTACACAACCTACCTTCAAACATGAGCATCATTACACTTAGCACCAAAATCACATTCTGTCTATTTAAGAGTATGCAAAAACTGCAGAGAAATTTAGAATATTGAATTATGGACGCTGACCCCATTTCATTAGCAGGGAGAGTGCAGCAGGCAGCTGTTATTACTCAGATCCTTACTTACAATAGAAGACAACCCCCACCTCAGAAATATAATCTGATTTGTGCATGAAAAGGTTTCAGTACTGCATTTCTCAACGTCATCAGCTTAGTGTGCACAAACAGCACACAGTAAAATTGGTTCAGTGTTCCAATAAACAGAATCAAGGTCACTGGCCAAAGAGTTTTAAAATGCCTCCCTTGATGGAATCTATCTGGATTGCTTTCGCTTACAATTACTTTGAAACACTTGAGCTGGTCTGTCTATAGCCAGGGTAGGTACGGAGATACCAATACACACAGCAACACATATGCCCTAGGGAAGACCTCTATATCCCGTGAAAGTAGTTTAAGGGCTGACTTTGAAAGTCCGGTGTAGAAATTAAAAAGGGAAGGAAAAAGGAAGCCTTACTACAATGAGTTTCATTGCCTTTCCTCTACAACAGTCATTCTGCACACGTTCAAACACTGACTGTCTTGACAAAACAGACTACTACTCGATTTCTCTTTCAGAGGGATTCTAAATTCAGTGACAACAGATTTAAAACTCTGAAGCGTTATGTAACTTGAACAGAATAAAATTTCAATTCAACCATTAATGCACTCTACATATCTGGATGTAATTTGAACACTTACTGATTGATAACTTCTATACAGGAACAAGAGAATTGTAAAGCCTCCAACAATGCCAGCGCAAATCACTATTTCCCACGGGAAACCATACAGATCAGGACCAGGTCTCATATCTTCAGGCAATGAAGCCACAGCCTGAAAAATGTAGTAAAAAGCTTCAACTAAAGGAAGAGAGGTTAATATTTTCAACAGAAATAGACATCACACATTGACTTTGTTTACTTCTAAGGCTTGCAACAGGCTTGTGCATCTATTTTTTTCCAAAACTCTAAGCAAATGGTTAATAGAAGCCTTTGATTTTTTAAATTATATGTTTACCAAGTGAAGAAAAAAAAATAAGAAAAATGTTCCAACGAGATATGATGATGACCAGATAAAGCTCTGAAAACTTCTCCTGTTGAACCTACCAATTATGGCAAATTCTCCTTCGAGTTGTCTACATGTTTCACTGTTACAAGAATCAATACTAGTAAGTATTTTATGGTTTACTGCTAGAAAATTTGTTTAGTAGAAAAACCCACTCAACCACCACCCGCTTCACACTAAAATAACATACCGAACACAGTCAGTGACTTAATACATTTAAAACTCTTAAATACAATCGCATTCATAAACGGACACCGCTATTTTCTCAAAGATATAACCTGCTTAACGGTTACAGACCTTTACTACGTGCGACTTGTGTTTAAGAACGTGTTACTGTGCAGTGAAGTCTTGATTTCGATTTCTTTAATGAAAGGGCCAGACTACCCCCACCTCAAGCCAAGCGGGGTGTGCGTGTGAGACCGGGGGG